GCACGTTCCTCTTCCCTTTGCCTCCCACGTTAGCTCTGGCTGCTTATGGCTCTTAATGAATTCGTTATAATGTCTGGAGTGAACCTGCAGCAGTGCTGCTGGTGCCTGGGGCTCAGGGGGGGTTGGGCCTACCGAGACAGACAGGCTGGGGCATCAAACGATGACATAGGGGTCGCGGGGGTCAGGGGTTGCTGTGTGATGTCAAGAGCTCTGACCGAAAACATCTGCCAATGTTTGCTTTGCTTGACAAAGTGTCTTGTTTGCTGAGCTTGGTTGGAGCATACCGGGCACATAAAGATGTTGGGGTGTCATGATCATCTGTCATTTTTCATCTAAATCTGATCATTCCTTTCCCCACATAGCTGGAGATGAGGCATCTAATCAGTCTTCATCCCCACCGTTTCTGCTGTGATGTATTTTTGTGAACGTGGTATGACCTTGACAGTTATGGGAGGCCTGCTTTCGCTTTCTGCTGTTACCAGCTTTGACCAAGAATGCGTTTCAGTAAATGCATGAAATAATCGTTTTCTCCTAAATAAATGTCAGCATCTGTTTAGAGGATTTGGCTGTTCTGTTTTTACTGGGCAATGCTTTGTTGATATCATAAAGCTTCTCGTTAATAAAGAGGACTTGTTTTCTACTTTCCTCTGGCTCCATTGTCCTGTGTTGTGGTTTTTGATAAAAGCTGGAGCCTTAGTGACGCTTGTGAGCGTTTACAGCAGGATTCCATATGCATGCTTTGCCTCGCTGTGTGTCCTGTTCTGACACGACCATCACCGTCTGTTCATTACCTTTCTGATTCTTCTGATCCGATCCTTAACCGAAAGGAAAGTGTGACAGGGTCACGGGGCTTTTTAAGTGTGTCTCTGCACAGCCTTCAGATATGACCGGGAACAGAGCAGGGCGTGTTCCAGGACTTTGAGCTTCTAGCTGCTTTCATTCACAAGCATTAGTTTTTCACACTGGTTCATTATAGGGTGGCCCTGCTCATACTTGGATGCCCCCCCCACCCAAAAAAAATGTGGAAGCATCTGAAACATGCGGAGGAACCAATTTCATGGCCTTTAATGTTTGAGGAGAGTGCCAAAACCTCAAGTGTGGGGCTTGTTTTCCGTGACTGGTGGTGCGTTCCTTCTTGTGGGCTGCCCCCCCCACCAGGGCAGTGCTTCAGAATCGCACTTTGAACTCCACCAGCAGGAATTCCTCAAGGCCCAATTTCATGCAGTCACCTGCTCCTTGTGTTATCTTCCCAGATGTTTTACTACACTGTATTATGGAGATTAATGCTGATTTATTCACCAGCCACAGATTAACTGTAGATAGGCGTCATCTGAACTCTCGTGCTGGCATCCCTACTTGAGGCAATGCGGGTTTCCTTTCAGCCTGGGTACCTGAGGTCGTGTCTCCTGTGTGACTGTCTGCCCAGGTATGGCGTGACTCCTGAGAGCGTCATCCTGTACGGCCAGAGCATTGGCACGGTGCCCACGGTGGACCTGGCATCCCGCTACGAGTGTGCCGCTGTCATCCTGCACTCGCCACTCATGTCAGGGCTCCGCGTGGCCTTCCCCGACACCAGGAAGACGTACTGCTTTGACGCCTTCCCCAGGTGAGTCAGCCGTGCAGCCGGCTGTTCCGCTGGAGCTGAAGCCCGGCTGCCGCCATCGTCATAGACTGCAAAGTGGGGCTGATAAGATGCATCACGATGAATATTGTTAAGGTGGTGATTAGACTGCATTGATGTGTAACGTCAGAATTGGTTCTCAATTTTTGGGAGCAAAATCATCCTTAAATATACTATTGCTTAGGGCTGTGCGACCTGACGATATAACGTGCGACAATATCAAACAGTCATTTTTTTATTATGATCTATCGTTTATTTCGTTATGTCGCAATCACACCAGTCAAAATGTGCACTTCTAGTGTGTTACACGAATAACAAAACTCCAGCACATAAACATGCAAAATATATTACTTAATGGCATTATGATCGGAAAATGACTTTAGAATGATAGGAACATTTATTTTTATTTAACTTTTTAAAATGATTTTACAATAAGTGTTTTTTTTTTTACATTTTATGAACAACTTCCAGGACTGCTGGTGCTCCCTGAGTTTTAATTACAGGTTATGCAGAGACTGAATCTCAACAGCATATAGCAGGATAAAATACACAATTGACTAATTTTCATTCTGAATTTATTTCGCATTCAATTCACACACTTAAGTATATAAGCGGTTGCTTACCATGCCTTGTCAGAATGGCAGCCTTGCAATATTGTGGTTATTGCGACAGCCCTATTTCACGGTTCATTCACCACTTCTCGAGGTATCAGCCCATGACATGTTTATAATTCATTATTTAATCTAGCCCACAGATTGATCTTTCATTTTCCATGGAATAAAAAATGATGTAACATTATTGTTATCTGTGTCATCACTGCCTACCCCCAGTTATCGGTATTGGTCTGAATCGGTCAGCTGGTTATTGTTATTGGTGGTATTATGTGATCTGTATTGGTCAGAATTTCTACATCAGGGCTTTTTCTTCTCTCCTTATAGTTCAGTAGTTGGCCTTTTTCACAGTTTACACTTGCTTGTTCTTCAGAACAACTTTTATTTGTATTCCATTAATAGTATGTAATTAAGGTTCCCATAGTCATATTTGTGACTTTAGTTGATCAAAATAATAAATTAATCAACACTAATCATGGTTGAAATTAGTCTTCCAGTGCATCAAATCGTTCCCTTAATTATCATAATCAAATTGGAGCCAGTGGTTTACACCCCCTGCTGGAACGTGAAGGCAGGACAGACCAACCAGGCCCCGAATGGGAGGACGTACTTCAGCTTCTCTCATTGCCAGATGCTCTTGCAGAACCTGGTCCCACCTGGCTCTATATACACAAGCCTCATCACCCAAATTTCTTCTCCTAATTGGCTGTAATTCACTGATAAAACTAACAATTGATCCAAGACAGTTGAAGTTTCTTCCCATCCAGCATCTCCTGCTCTGAGGTTCTGATCACCTTACAATGACACGATGTCTCCCCTTCCGTTCCAGCATTGATAAGGCATCCAAGGTGACCTCCCCGGTCCTGGTCATCCATGGCACAGAGGACGAGGTCATCGACTTCTCGCATGGCCTGGCCATCTATGAGCGCTGCCCCCGTGCTGTGGAACCACTGTGGGTGGAGGGTGCAGGTCACAATGACATCGAGCTCTACTCGCAGTATCTAGAGCGACTGAAGCAGTTCATTTCCTATGAGCTGCCCAGCTCCTGAAGCCTGCCCCCCCCCCATTCCCCCCCCAACCCTGGGTCAAGGAAGATCTAGGGGCACTGGCGGGTCTTGCTGCCCTCGGGACGAGGATCTGGTCAGTCTCTACTCGAATGTGGATCCTTCTCAGCCTCTATGACAATAAGTACAAAGCATCTGTAATTCTGAGGGTGAATTTTACATGTGCAACTTTTACAAATTTATACTCCTTTTATACTTGATGGAAACTTTCTCACTTTAAACTCCACACACACACTTCATTTTTTCCCTGTAAAGAATAATTTAACAGCAGCACTTTCTTTGTGCAGTAATGGTTATTTTGACTGTGTACATTTATGTTTTTTTTTGTTGATCTTATCATTCCATTTGTTTTTTTCTGGTTACTTTTTACTTTTTTAGACTCTTTTAATTGTAATTACTGGCTGATTTCTACTCTGACCCGAGAGGGTTTCACAACCCAGGGAACACACTTTTGTTTTTAAAGTTAAACTGTGGTGTTGTATACTGGAAGAGGTGTGTGTGTGTGTATGTGTGTGATCTAGTGATTCGGCTCTGCCTCAGCAGCGGTGTCTGGAGCACACGTCAGAATGTGGGGGGGAGCTCTAGTCGGTCAGTCGCCCATTAGCACGGTGCTTGAGGTCTCCCCAGGCTCACCAAAGTCACCCTTGGCATCCGCTCAGACGATTCGTGTGACCGGGAGGCCCACGATGTCCAAATACAGCCCAATGCTACAAACAAAAGGCCTTATTTTGTGACATTCCTCCCAGCGGGTAGGCGAAGGGCCGCCCCATGACACACGGATGCTGCTATCTGCTGATATTTCGTTGCAGGAATCACTGTGAAACCTGACGGGAGTCTGTATGCAGAGAAGGACACGTCGCTATTGTGTGTCAGTACAACAGTTACGGGTTCGAGCAGACCGTCTGTGCCCGGTCCAGGCGATTTCATCCTCTCCATACACTTGCCGAACACAGCAGACTGCAAATGACGATGTTCTGCAGAGAATGACACTGGGCTTGTCGTTGTAATGACTGTATTTATTACATTTATGAATAACAATGACTTGTATGCTGTGTGCTGATTTTTGGAGCCAATTAAGACCATTGTGGTATTTTCACGTGTTAAATAGGCATGTAATACATGGTTCTTTTTAAGCTGTAACCAAGGGAATTAAGAGTAGTGAACCACTATGCTATACTGCAGCGTTTCCCATCCCGGTCCTCAGTACGGAAGCAAAAACATAAACTGTCTGGAGGTGCCCAAGGGCTGGGTTGGGAAACACTGCTATTGTGTGCCTGGGGCAAAGCTATGAAGTATCTGTCAGGTAAAATTTTTTTTGGGGGGGGGGTATTATTAACGTCTTGTATTGCGTAGTCTGATCATAATGCAACCTGAAGGATTTTTGCTGTGCATTCCTCTCCACAAGGAGCTTGAAGGATTTGTCTGAATTCGCCACTGGCCTCTCGTGCCACGATGCCGTGTTAGTGTGAAGCGCTGAGATGCCTGAAC